GGCCTAGACCCTTTTTCTGAAGAAGGGTCTAGGCCCGAAACGTCAGCTTTCCTGCTCCTCTGATGCTGCTTGGCCTGCTGTGTTCATCCAGCTCTGCAACTTGTTACCCCTGTGGGGCTCCACTTGTTACATGCTGGCAATCAAACAAAAACCCACTGATGTGTGCTTTCTGCTTTTTGTCAGACAACCAATCTTCAATCTCTCCTAATATGTTACTCGCTACATCAGGAGCTTTCATTTTCTGCAATAACCTTCGATGTGGACCCTTATCAAATGCCTTCTGGAAATCTACCTACTGTACAGACTTATCTTTATCCATTGTGCTTATTACTCCTTCAAAGCACTCCAATCAGGAAGTTAAACATGGTTTCCCTTTCAAGAAATCATGTTGATTCTTTCAGATCGTCTCTTCTAATCTCTTTCATCTCCCCCTTACAAACCTTGCAAACCTTTCCCCCATATCCCTCTTTATAGCCTCCTTTTCATCTCTTATTTTTCCCTCTGTACATCCTTCTGCAACTACCTCCTCATCCAGTTGACATTCTCACCCTTGACCTAGCAGATAGTACACCTGGATCCAGCAGCAGGCCTTTCCAGCTTTGGCAAAAGACCAGTCACAGGCTGTTTCTCTTCCGGGTTTGGTTATTAGTGAACTAATCAGCAGCAATCACAGGAACAAGCTAGCCTGTTTTAATAGGGGCAGTTCTTTACCCTTCCCTTACATTCTATTTACAGGTGCAACTTTTCTGAGTGGATTTTCCCAGAGGATTTTAGGGGCACATTTGTCTGCTGCTCTTGTGTACTTTGAGCTTATTGATGTTAAGCTTATAAAAAGGCTAATTTGCAAGGCATCTTTTCTTAATTATCCTGAAGGACTTTTTGTGGCGATTTGCAATGTTTAACAAAGGGGGCAATCTTGAGTATTTCAAGGTGTTTTACTAGTTTCTGGCAGAACCTGAACTGTTCGCACTGGAAGTGATTATACACATTGCTATTGCTGTCAGACAAATTACAAAGTGCCAGGAGTCAGTCAGTTGTAAACTAGGCTGACAACTGAGATGTTGTTCAGCAATACAACGTGATATCCTCACAATTCTAAGATGGGTCCAATTTGGAACCTTCAAAGTGGTGATTTTAACTCTATGACCTGCCTCCACCTCTAAACCTTAATGAGGTTGGTTTTCTTTGTCAGCAACCAAAGTGTTAGAGTTGAATTAGCTAGCTTGGAGTTTTTGTCTCTGGCCTCTATGTAGAAATCATGTATTCTTCTTCATTGAATGAAGAGTGAATAGAGGTGACTAATTTCATGGTGAAAAGGATACTCCTCTCATTCACGTACATATTTTGTATTTGAATTGGGATGTGATCATTTATTGTTTCAGAGGTGTTCAATTCACATGAAGTAAGTCTGGATTTGAGCTTGATCATTGAGCCACTGCTGTCTTACGAGACATTGGGCAGTTAGTACTGGGGATGTCACAGCTTGTGGCTTGTATTGATGAGAATGATGGTCTGGATCCGATGTATAATGGGAAGGTAAGAAGATTGTTGCAGTAGTTTGATTATATGGGGAGAGATGAAACCAAACCAAAATGAATGTTGAAATGAGACAGAGTTCTATGACAAATGAATAAATTGTAATATAGAAATATTTTCTTTCCTTTTCTTTTAAGGTGGTTCATGATAGATGTTCAAAAAGAGATCAGTGAAATTGCAAGCTCTCTTTTTCTCTGTTTCACTCTATTATTCTGTAACAGAGGGTTAATGTGTAAGGGAGGCACTGAGATGGAGAGATAGAATTGTTACAGTGGTGATAATTGACTTTTCTCTGAATGACTTTACACACTGCTTCGCTGAAGAGGTTTGAAGGATTATTATCTGTTTTTATTAGAGGAGCTGCGCTTTCAGCTGGACCGGTCTGCAATCTTTCATTTAGTTGGTGAAGCTGCCAGGGGTTTGCTGAACAGATGGCTGAGTCATGACTGCAGAACATTGCATCGCTATGTCACACAACTGACTGCCACATTTTCATTTCTGTAGAAAGCAAAAGAATTGTACTGTTATACAATGGCTGAATAAAAATTCTGTTTCCCTCATTGCCTACCAAATCTGTTATTCAGTTGATATTGGACTCCACAGATTCTGTCATATCAGCATGAAAATAACAAAAAAAAAATCCTGGTGTGTGACCTTGATGTCATTCTTTTGGGTGTCTGGCTGTCACAGTTGGCCTGGGAATTTCAACCATCCAGTTTTTCTGTCTTCACTTTAGATTTTCATGTGTATTTTGGTTTCCTAGCTGAGATCCAATCCATCACATAAATGGATGTTAGAGTTCAGCTGTACTACAAGCTTGCCCTTGCCATTCCCATCATAACTTCATCTGTCTTTGACATGACAGCTGCCTCAAACCTTACCACCCCTCTACCTTTCACAACTCCATTCTGGTTACTTTCGTTCGTATCTCATTGCGTGATTTGGTATCATATTTGTAACCAAAGGCGGGACGGTGGTTCAGTGGTTAGCATTGCTGCCTCACAGCACCAGGGACCTGGGTTGGATCCCATCCTCAGGTGACTGTGTGTATGGAGTTTGCAAATTCTCCCCGTGTCCGCGTGGGTTTCCTCCAGGTGCTCTGGTTTCCCCTCACGGTCCAAAGATGTACACGTTAGGTGGATCGGCCGTAAGAAACACAGGGATACGGGGATAGTTTTGGTCTGGGTGGGATGCTCTTTGGAGGGTCTTGGTGGATTTGATGGGCTGAATGGCCTGCTTCCACACTATGGGGATTTTGTTCTATTCTATCTCTGAAGCCGCTTGGGATGTTTTACTGTGGGGGTCAGTAAGCTCAGTTGACTGGTTTGGAACTCAGTGATGCCAACAGCGTGGATTCAATTCCCACACCAGCTGAGGTTACCCATGGAGGACTGTCCTTCACAACCTGTTCCCCCACCTGAGGTGTGGTATCCCTTGAGTTAAATCACCACTAGTTGTTTCTGTCTAATGAGAAAGCAGTACTAATTTCTTGTGGAACTATAATTACTTTACTTTTATGATATTAATGGGATACAAATACAGCCAGCAATGCTGTTCTAAACAATGATCCCCTTTAGAAAGTACATATGTGAATATGTAGTTGGCTCAGCTATGGTGCCCTCAAGGTTCGACACATCTACTCAAATTCACTGTTCAGGCTTACACATTAGAAAGATTCTTTGAGTGACAGATGCCTCAACTGTACCTCAGAATGACTCAGTGGCCCTACTGTAAAGAGAGGAGGAATTCTTTTTGCGTGAAGAAGAAGAAAAATGTTAGATACAGAGCTCTGTTAGTTAGATGATAGAAATTTCCCTGGCTTTCTTCACCACAACTTCCTTTTTTTTTCTCTTCTGGGATTATCAGCGTAGCATTCAAGTCTTCATATTTCAAACTCAAGCTAACTCAAAGACATGGGACCAAGGGAGAAATTTTTGGCCATGATTCTTATCCTGTTTCAATATTCACATTTCCTCTTCCTCCTCCTCTTCTCCTGCTTCTCTACCCTCCCCCAAAAAGAAATTCTTTACCCTCATTAACTGCCTTTGTGATGCCTTTTGGGTTTAATAGAATAGTACAGAACAGAAGGAGGCCAGTTAACCCATTAAATCTGCACCAGTTCTTTTGCAGAGATGTCAATACAGTGTAGAGCTGGAGGAACACGTCAGTTCAGGCAGTGTCAGAGGAGCAGGAGAGATCTCTTTTTGCAGAGAAGATCAGTGAATTGTACCACTCCCTGCTCCCACTCCCACCAACCCATTTTTTCCTTCCAAGTATTTATCCAGTTTCCTTTTGAACATCAATTGTAATCTGTTTACATCTTAATATTGGGGAGGAATTACTTCTTAATCCCGATCAAGGTTTGCATATACATTTTTCCTCCTGTTACTTCAGTTCTTTTGCCAATCAGTTTAAATGACGATAAATCTGGGTCATCTGACGATCGATCTTTCAGCCATTAGAAGCAGTTTGTATTTATTCTGTCTGACCTCTTCATAATTTTTTACACCTCCATTAATTCTCCTTGGGGTTCTTGGTTTTCAGGATAGTAACCTCAGCTACTCTATAGTCATTCATCCTTGGAGCTGGCCTAATAACAGTCTTCTGAACCCTCTACAAAGCTTTCACACCCTTCTGGTGCCCAAGATTGGAAATCATTATTGCAGTAGGATCAAATTATCTTATATAGGTTCATCAAAAACTTCAGTTTCATGTGGTGCACTTCTAATAATTACGGGTTTGTCAGATGTTTGTACATAATTTGGAGGAGAATTGAAACATGATTCTTACGGGGCTTCATAGTGTAAGCATTAAGAAGTTGTTTCCCCTTGCGACGGTCCAGAACCAGAGGCCATAATCCTAGAATAAAGGATTGCCCATTTGGCATCAAGATGAGGATTTCTTTCATGTTGGGAACTCTTTAAAGTGGAGAGCCGTGGGGCTGTGTCTTTAATAATATTCAAGGCTATGATAGACAATTTTTTTTAATGAGCAAGGAAATGAAAAATTATGGGGAAAGGATAAGCTGAATGGCCTACCTTTTGCTCCCACGTCTCATTTGGTCATTAATATTAACCAAACAGCTCCAATTTGAATCTGTCCCAGGACCAGATAATTTTTTTTCAAGGACTGTTGATATTTTCTTGAGGGCTATTTTATAATTATTACAGGTTACTTTTTGATTTTTGGGGGTTCCTCTTTCATTCTTATTAACTCATTTATTAGATGATACAACAAGTATCGCTACCATATGACTGTATTTGAGTTGAAATACAGGTATTTTCAGTCACACAGGAGCAGAATTCAAAGAATTCATCTTTATCATCTGTTATCAATCGTTCATTAAACTCAGAGCCATGATACACAAGGAGAGCAATGATTTTGTCGTATCACATATTTAAATTGGCACAAGATCAACAGTGTAAATTATCAACAAAAGTTTTGTTTTCAAATGTTTCTATACAAAAAAAAACTCATCATCCAAAATATCTTCAAGAGGTGTGAGGTCACAGCTAATGTTTTTTCCTTACATATACACAAAGCTGGAACATTTACCCAAGCAGTCACTATCCTATTGTCTTCACTGATTTCAATTGCTGATTTAAATTTAACAATTGACAGTTTTGAATAAAAAACATCCACTACCCTCCAGATAGTGTCTCCTCATCTTGTGCACCCTTAAGCTAGATCTTCCACGGTCAGTTTCAGGAAATCATTACCTCACTACATCGTTATGTGTTCCACTATTGACGGTTTAAAACTGTTCTGTCTCTTGTGCAACTTTCTTTTCTGCCCATCCCTAACTAGTTGCCTCCTTTTGTGCATCCCCCACCCCACATTGCAGTCACCTCACTGCCACTTGCAACTTACTTCCTTGCTCCTGTCCTTTGCAGCAGTCAGCCCCTTACAAAGGTCTTGGCCTGGCCAGCCCCTTAGGCACAGAGATGCATCTGTCCCTCCATACCAGTGACTTGTTCATCACACCCACTTACCTTTCAAGTTGCTCCTGTCCCACACCTGATGCACGAATAGGTGAGAAGCAGCTCCTCATAGATTCTGTCTCTCTTGCTCTGATTGGTTGCTGGGATTGCTAACTGTTTACCCCCTTCTCTAGGGCTTTGCAGAGACTGACTGACTGATTCATTACTTCTCTCCCTTCCTTAGCTTTGTGTTCTGTTCTTGTAGTGTTTAAAGTGGTGAGGAATCTTTGTACCTGTGACCAGCAAAGAGACTGAAATCTTACACTTTGAATTGGTCATGGGTTCTTTTCACCAGATGTAACTCTTTTCCTTGCAGAATTTATTTGACAATAAATTTGATGACCTCTTTGGAAGTCCTGGGCCAACTGACCCATTCAATTTTAACAACCAGAATGGGATGTCTAAGGATGACAGGTAAGGAATATTGATCTCATGAACATCTTCCATTGAATGTTACTAAATTAATGATGATTAGATAACTTCATGCGTTTCCTGAGTTGTGGTTTGAAAGTTTCAGATCTTTCTGTTCTAAACGTACTGTCATGCAGCGGGCAGGTGAATGGCCGTGTTACAGGGGCCTTCTGATGTCACAATCAAAATGAAGCTAAAGGAGCACATGAACTGCTCAAACCTGCAGGCTGAGCAACATCTTGGTTTTAATGTGAGCCTTTTTTTAGAGAGATTCATGTGATTTGATTTTGCTTTTATTGCCTTCACTGAATAATACGTCATAGTCTGCATTCAATCCAATGTTCAAAGGATAACTCTGCAGTGGAAATTGTAGGAAGAACCCATGGTAGACAAATTAGTGTAATTTCGACGATTGATAGACAGTCCTTGTTCAGCGAAAATCTATATTGTTCGGGGGAAAAAAGGCCAAAGGGCTGAACATCACTACGTCAACGTTTCCAAGATCCAATCCCTAAAAACTGTTGAATGGATCTCTGCTGTCTGATCCTGTTTCCAGTGGGAATGGTTTCCTTTTGATACTTGTCATGAGGGGAGAATTGCACTTAACAGGAAATGTGGTACAGGAGTTCAGCACTAATGGTCACTCTGTTTACTGAAACAGCGATATCCATAAATTTAAAGAGCAATTTGATTGCAATGTACACAAGCATGCCAAGATTAAATCAATACTCATTTTTAACTCCAAATCAGACCACCTAGCAGTAGGGCGGAAAATCAGCCTTTTGCCATGTAATGGTTAGGTTTATCTTTGAACCTTTTGTTGATTCCTGGGAGATTTTATGTTGATCTGCACCATTATTCCATACCTTAATTGTTCATTTATAGATGGGAACTGCTAAATGTGGTGGAAAACTGCTTCACAAAAGAAAAATAAATCATCTCAAGAAACCTGCATTGTTAATAAGATCAGCAATGATCAATGTAATTTATTAATATTGTGTCCACAGTGATAATGAAGGGCTCAATAAGAGCTAGATTCTGTTAAGGTACAGTTCAAAATAGCCCAAACGAAGTAGAGATATCACATATATACAAATAACAACAACTCTTTCATTTGCAGTGCAGGAACAAGACTTGACGAGCATTGTGATCACTTTAGCTCGTCCCAAGTTAGGCGCTCAGTGCAACAGTGATCAGGGCTATGTGGTTGTTGAGTCTTTGCTGTCTTTCTCCTTGCATTATAAGCATTTTCCAGTGTCCTGTCACTAATACAAGCAGAGTAGTTTGAATGAAATGTCTGAATTAGCTTATTGAAGTACCTGGTGTACTGCTAGCCCCTAATCTTAATTACATTGTACTAATCACTGGAAAGCATTCAGTCTTTAAACCCACTGATACAGTGGAGTTGTTTAATGTTTTTTGTGCATTCAGATTTCTGTGACTGATACTCGCACCTCCAGACCTGCTTTTCCCTTGACATCACTAAACCTCCTCCCAGCCAGCACCTACTGCAATCCATCCATTTGTAAATCACTTAAAGAACTTCCATTGTTCCCCCTTTATTATTGTGTAAAATTTGTATTTGTATATCTGCTAAATTCTTGTGACGCAAACAAAAGTGAGTGTGCACATTTGAAGTCTTACAGCAAGTTCAGCTTTCCCACATTTACAGTATTTGGTTTTGGGCATTTGACGAAATATGCTTTGCTTCCTGGCAATGTGTACATTTTGTGCACAGAATAGCTGGCTTCGTGGCCTTTTCGTCACTATTTTGTTGATCAGTAGGCCTTTTTTAGTGAAATAAATTTGCTTTGTAGAAGTCCATACGCACAGCACAAACTCAATATCTTAATTGTGATTCACAGCTTTAAAACCTGCTCAAAAGGAACAAGAACGAGTTAGCATAGATTTAAAGTGATGTGCAAATGAAGCTAAAGTGATGTGTGACATGACATTTCATACAGAGAGGCATTGAGGTAAAGAAAGCACTGTCTGGAAGTGTGGTGAAGACAGATTCAGTTGAGGCATTCAAGTAAGCATTGGATGATTATTTGGATAGAAATAGTCTGTCAGGGTATGGGTATGCTTAGCAATAGGTAGTGGTGCTCATTTGAACAGCTGGTGCAGGCACAATGGGATGAATGGCCTCCTTTGAGATTCTGTGAAAAACAGAAGTGCTAAATCCCAGAGGTGAGGTGAGAGTGACACTCCTTGACATGAAGGCTGCATTTGGCCAAGTATGGCATCAAGGAACCCTAGCAAACTGGAATTAGTGGGAATCGGGGAAAATTCTTGGCTGGTTGGAGTAATACTTGGCATGGAGAAAGATGGTTATCGTTGTTGGAGATGAGTCATCTCAGCTCCAGTATATTTCAGCAGGATTTCCTCAGGGTAGTGTCCTAGGCCAATGACCTTCCCTCCATCATAAGATCAGAAGTGGCGATGTTCACCGATGATAGCACAATGTTCAGCACCATTTGCGATTTCTCAGATACTGAAGCAGTCCCTGTTCAAATGCACTAAGGCCTGGACAATAACCAGGCTTGGGCTGACAAATGGCAAGTAAGGTTCATGCCACACAAATGTCAGGCTATGACCATCTCCAATAAGAGACAATCAAACCACTGTCGCTTTACATTCAATAGTGTTACCATGATTGAATCCCCACCATCAATATCTTCGGGTTACTATTGGCCAGAAACTCAACTGGACTTGCCATAGAAATAACGAAGTTAGCTGAAATATCTAAACCTTTTGTGGCAACCAGTTGCTTTGAAATAGGCTGACACCTGCTAACAGTCACGAGGGTTAATCATTTGGCTTCCTAATTATCGTCAGTTGATCCGCATTGGCTTTCAGTCATTGTTGTATACTAGCATTTATAGCTTGAATTTATCTGTTCCCAGGGACAAGTTAATTGAACAACTCAACAGGGAAATTGCGTCACTGAAGGAAGAGATGGCGAATTTTAAAATCGAGGTAGGATGCCTGTTTACTGCTGTCTCGTATCTTAGAATCTAGGTAACTGACTGATTTGGCACTTGTTGCTAGGAACAGTGACACAGATTCTCATAAAAGTGACTCCACTGAGTCTCATTTGTGAGACCTTCTGAGTCCATGTCTGTGGTATATTTTCACTTCTTGTTCTTTACCTCTCTGCAATCATGGACGTGGTCAGCTTTACTATGCTTTTCCAATGTGTCTTCACTGTTGTCCAACTCAATGAGATTATCCTCTCAGGATTCTGCCTGTCCGATCACAGCTAAGGCATCTCCAATAACAGCATCTCTTCCCACCAACATACCATGACCTCTGGAATCTTCTCGGATCTATCCTCATCTCTGTCCCCTTCCTCACTCTCATGCTGATCCTTGATGTCCTGATCACATGGGTTGATAGTACACAACTCTAACTCTCCAACATACTTTTCAACCTTTCCAGTTATGTTGACAAACTGGTTTTTTGATGCCCATCGCAATTTTTCCACTTAAACCTTGCAGATATTTTAAGCTGAAGACCATTGTCATTGTTTCCAACTCTCTTTTCCTGGCCACTGATTCCCATTAAATCAGACTATTGGCAGTTTGCCTCCAGTTCAACCTTGACGTGTCCGTTAGAGCAATTATTCCACTGAAGTAACTTGACTCAGTTGTGGCCCTGCCTCATTCCAGCTAATGTGAAAAATCTTGCCACATTTGTCACCTCCAAACTGAAATATTACAGTGTTCTTCTAGCTGCATTCCATTCTGCATACCGTGCACACCCAGCTCTGCTGCTTGTATTCCATGCAACATCTTGTCTCACTTATCAAGCACTGCAGTTCTCACTGGCTTACAATGGCTACTAATACCCCAGTTTCTCCAATGTAAAATTCTCATCCTTGTATTTATCTCCAACCACTGCCATGCTCTTCCTGAAGACCTACAGTCCCCTCCTCTTACCACTGCCAGAATTGCCCTGACTCTTAATTTTCCCATTACTAATTCAAATCTGTAGTACTTCAAATCTGTCTAGGCTCCACTGGAATTACCTCTCCCCTTCCCTTCACCCTTCAGTCTCCCTTTTCTCCTTTTAAAGCTTGTTTTAAAACCCACCAGTTCAATCAAGATTTTAGCCACTGCCTCCCAAAGTGCCTCCTTTTGGTTCAACTTCATTTGTACTTGTTTGCACATTCATGAAGTACTTTGTGATGTTTTTCTCTGCTGTAAGCACTACAGTAAATCCAGGTTGTTGATAATTAGTCTCTTGGTCCCTCTGAACTAGCTGGCTGCTCAGAATATTGGCACTATTGAAACAAATGTAAGTGAATGTCCAGTCTTTGCTCTTGACCCAAAATCAACTTTCTGAATGTAAGAGAGCGGAATAGTTTAAAATGCTAGTGAGGTCTAAGCACTGTAGTCATTGATTTTTCTTTGGAATTCTTTACAGTGACTAACTAATAATATTAGCAGTTAATATGCTAGATGGTGCAGATTTATGATCCAACCGACGCACTTGCCTTTCAGCAACTGCTATTAAAATGTTCTTTGCCAGCAAACTGTGCTGATCTTGGTAAACGACTGTGACAACAAAGTACCAGACCCATTACGGCTTTCGACTGTTGATTTTGATCAGTACAAATCACTGATTGCCACAGGCAGTGATTAGTACGCACTTCCACAGCACAGCTGACTGCATATATTTGACTGATGACCATAACAAATGAGAACATGCCAGCAACTTTCAGTACGCAAGTAATGCTGACAAAAGAATTCTAAGACCAACAAAAAAATAGCCAAACTCTGCCTTTATCAAATTCGGTCACCACTTGCTATAATTGTGGAATCTTACTGCACAGAAGGAGGCCATTTGTTCATCTTGCCTGAGTTGGCTCTTTGAGTGAACTGTTCAGTTTAAACCCTTTTGCAAAGCCCTACAAACTTCTATCCTTCATGACTTTGTCCACGTTCCTTTTGAAATTTATTTGAATCTACTGCGCGACCTCGTTTCAGATCATGTATCCAGATTGCAATAACAATCATTGCATAAAGAAATTCTCAGCTCTTGCCAGTTACCTTAAATGTGTTGTTAAGGTCAGATGTTTGCAGCCTTTTGCCGGTATCATGGCCTAGTACTACCTGCTGTAGTGATTGAATTGTTGGCAAGTAAACTGACAGTAGAGTGGAAGGTGTTGGCAACGCCACCACTAGAAGTTGACAAGAAAATAACTCGTTAGATTCAGCACAAATCAACTCCAGGAGCTTAGCTGGGAATCCCTGTCAAAGACAGGTTGGTTGCACTCACTAAGAAAGGAAATGAAGGGTCTCAAATTGCCATCCAGCAAAATTCTCATGTATAAAGTTTGGATAACATCAAAGAAGTGCAATGTATGCACAGGAAAAGAGAACTAGAGACCCTAAAGTGAGAAATTAAACAAATTGTGATTGTGTGAACAGGGAAAGACAGCCTCGTAATTGATGAAATGAGAATAATGTGCTCAGTTTGAGATGAAAAGGAATGGGGAGTAGTAGTATTGTTATACAAGGAAGCTGCTCACTGAGGGTGAAGTGAAATGCGAGTCAGTTTGACTGATGCTCGCAAAACTAAAGGGGTAGCCACTGGTCATTGCCATTGGTCAAGAACATACGCCCACAAGTGAACATCCAGACAAAGAGGTTGATGAGATGTATAGCAGAACTGAAAAATAATTGAACGGGAGAGTAGGAAGAGCTGTATGATTGTTGTAAAGAGATTGAAACAGCATTGTTTGGAGAAGGAAGAGACAGTGAAGAAGACCATTTAGTCCTGCTGTTATAAATGAGCAAGGGTAAAAGCTGGTCAGTTTTTATAGAAGAACAGGACTCAATAGATGCATGGTTTAAGCATTATAGAGGAAAACAATATGCATCAAATGTTTGGCAATACAGGAAGATTTTAATCAAACTATATTCCTGCACCTTTGTCTCAATATTATTGTGTTAAGAACTCGAAAGTTCATCTAGGAACTGGTGTACACTCAAATCATAATCTTATGAAAATGAAATTGAATTCCTGAAGAAGATCCAAGTGGCAAAATGCAGAAACCAGTGGAACCTATAGAGGTTGAAAGAATTAGATAAAGAACATATAAAAGTATGTAAAGTATCAGTTGGAAACATCAAGGATACCACCAAGATCACTGAGCAATGGAAACAGATTAAATAATGTGGTATTTTTGAGAGAAACCAGAATTACGAAACCATGGGCTACGACTAGAATGTTGAAAAAGTTAGCAGAAAAGGGCAAGTGGAAAATAAGCAATAAGGTATGCTGAAATGCAGACCCTTGAATAGTAGGTTAAGAAAGAAAAATGGAAAAGCTAAGAAACAACAGTTGAGAGTATTCTGAAAAACTTGAACAGTTGGGATTAATGCTGAAGAATAGAACTTGTGTGTGCAAAAGCAAAAGAGATTCATGACACTTAGCATACAGTGCTGAAGTATCGAGTAAGGAAAATATTTTACGAACAAATAGTAATAACACAAGGACGGAAGGAACATATTGATGAACTATGTGCCAAAAACAACAAAAATCTTGAAATGGTTGTCAGTATTACTCTCTGTTTCTTTATCATTGATTTCATGGGAGCAGAAATATCTGAGATAAGAGCAGTAGTAAATGAGATAAATGCAAAAGTGTCTGGAGTAGACGCAGTTCATAAGAAATCTGTACTTGGCAAACAACAAAGGTTAAAAAAGCCAACACCGTGTTAGAATCATATGCACTTGGTTGAGGAATTTGACAAGGGTGTTGTTTATCATCAGTCCTCTTTGATATCTATGCAGCAGTAATGATCAAAGAAGCATTTGAAGACACAGAATTTTAATTGAACTTGCAGGTGAATGGTAACATCAGTTAGATTTCCAGATGACAAAACACTTGTGGGAAACACAAAAGAAAGGTTGCAAGAATTAGTTGTTAGACTTGTAACAGCAGGCATGAACTCTGGAATGAAAGGGAACACTGACAAGACTGAAGCAATATATATCTCAAAATCTGCAAGAAATATTCATAGAAGGCAAAGAACTACAACAGGTATAAGAACTCAGTATTTAGGAAACATAATATCTAAAGATGGCAAATGCAACAAAGAAATAAGAACAAGGATAGCTCTCAGCTGAGACAATTAGTAATTGGAAAGCTGAATAAACAACTCAGGAAGTGACGTGCAAAGAGCCTGATTGTTGTTTTTGTATGGATGTGAGACTTGGGTCTTACAAAAGAAGACCAACTTACTAAATAACTCTGAAGTGTGGGTTTTGAAGAGAAGAGAAATGATCTGTGGACAGATGAAGTAACATAAAGGAAGTGTTTTGGAGTGTTGATGATCATTTAAACTTCTTAATTGTAATTAGGAAAAGACAGAGAGTCTAGGTCCGGCACCTTTTAGGAGGGAATAGAGTTTGAAGAGAGGTGATAAGGGTTTGATTTTGAGAAGAAAGAGTGAGGAAAAGAGTATCCATGTCAGATGGCTTGAAAATTGAAGGAAATTATTCACAAAGGTAAAGAATAGAATCGATTAGACAGATATGGAAAGGCAAATACAAACCAAGGACCAGACTTTGGGCAGAGCACTCATGATAACAGTGACAAATATTTATGTACGCTGTGGTTATCAAGTCACTCCCATTGGAAACAGTTTTCCCCTTTCTACTGTATTAATTGCTGTGGTGATTTTGAAAGCCTCAATTACTTCTTCTGTTAGCCTTCTCTGCTGAAAATTGAATAAACCCATCTTCTTTAGTTTCTCCACATAACCATTTCTTTTACA